AGTGAATCAGAATATTTTTTGCGGTCAGGAAAAAAGTCGGAACTTTGTCTGGAAACCAGGGAAAATTCAGGAAGGAACAAAATTAAATTTTTGTGGCCACCCTGCTTTTAGATACGAAATTATAGTAATTTCTTTGAGAAGAATTAAAATTGAGAGCATAATATATAATTGATTTGGCGTTGATATTATTGGCTGTGATTTTTCTATCGAGCTTAGGAATTATTTTGCTGGCTGATATGTTGCAGGTGAAAAGAGAGACACGTACGCTGTGAAAGAGAGAGAGAGAGAGAGAGAGAGAGAGATTTTCTAAGACTAGTTTCCGCCTCAGCTTCCTTTCCTTTTTGAAACTTGTTTGCCGATATGGATTTAAAATGTATGAAGTGATTGTGATAGACATTATGGAATATGTTGGAGACAGTAAGTCGAATTTGCTCGCTCGGTCGGGTCGCAAGCTTCGCGCATGTCGATGCTTACAGTGGCCAATGGACTGGTTAAAATATTAAACGGGAGCAAAGACCCTTCGTATCTATATAGCAGGCTGTCGCGGTTCAGTTTGTCAGTGCTTTTAGAGGGTGTGGGTTGACTGAATGAAGGGGAAGTCATTCTGGGTTGAGGTGGGCGAGAGGAAGGGAAAAAGGTGAAGAGTGACTGAGCCGGGGAAGGAGACAAAGTAAAGTGAGGGTGGTTGGCTGGCTGGGCGAAACTACTGTCAAAGGTACCAACCAACCAACCAACCAACCATACTGCCATCTAGAAAATCACGAGTTCTTTTGAGCATGCGCCACTTCTTGCCGAGAGTACGCGTACGTGGGCTTTTCAAGATTACAGAGTCTTGCGTTTCTTTTAACGTTGTTTCGGACCAAGCGAAGGGAGAGCAGAGCGGTCTATATATATATATACTTTCGGATCACTTGAATTTCTCCTGATTTCGCTCTTCTTTTTCGAAAAATAAACTCGCAAGACACGAGAAAAACTTATTTTTATTTTTATTTTTTTTTCTTTACCCTCTTCAGGAGAGTAAAAGTTAATCCATCTAATATGAGGAGACAAAACAAAAGGATTTCAAAAAAAAAAAAACAAGAAGCACAACACTGCTCTTTTGTGATTAATGCCAACTTTTCTTTTCTATTATACAGGGCTCGGATCGTCTTTAAAACTCAAAAAAGCATAAAATTTCCAAAAAAGTCGGCAAGAAGTCGCATGAAATTTTAGAAAAAACGACAAAAAGGAATAACACGAAATTGTCAAAATTGTAAAAAAAATCACATTTCTCGACAACACGAACTTTAATATCAAACAATCCGGAATAAAATTTAATAAAATTAAATAAAATTCATAGCAAAATTTTAATTAGGTATTTTTAACCTTTTTTTACAAATTCTCTTTAAAATGTCAATTATATTTACAAATAATAAAATTCTTCTCTGAAATTTAATTATTTGTAAAAATAATAATAAAATTCTTGACAAAATTTCAATTATTTTTATAAATAATAACATTCTTCTCCAAAATTCAATTATTTAAAAAAATTCTTAATAAAATTCTTGTCAAAATTTCAATTATCTCTATAAATAATAAAATTCTTCTCTGAAATTCAATTATTTTCAAATTCAATTATTTTTAAAATTTCTCGTCAAAATTTTATAAATAATAAAATTCATCATGGAAATTTAATTATTTTCAAAAGTTCTGATAAAATTCTTTGCAAAATTCAATTATCTTCAAAAGTAAGAAAATTCTTCGCAGAAATTCAATTATTTTCAAAAATTTTTGTTAAATTTTTCTCAAAATTTCAATTATGTTTATAAATATCAAAATTCTTCTGCAAAATTCAATTACTTTTAAGCATTTTAAAAAAAACATGTTCAAAATTTCAATTATCTTTATGAATAATAAAATTCTTCTCTGAAATTCAATTATTTGTAAAAATAATAATAAAATTTTTGTCAAAATTTCAATTATATTTATAAATAATAAAATTGATCCTAGAAATTCAATTATTTTCGAAAGTAATGAAATTCTTTATAGAAATTCAATTATTTTCAAATTTTTTTTTAAATTACTCGTCAAAATTATCATTTTTTCATAAATAATAAAATTCATCATGGAAATATAATTATTTTCAAAAGTTCTGATAAAATTCTTTGCAAAATTTAATTATCTTCTTGAAAATTTTATTCAAATTCGTCGAAAAAATTCAATTATTTAGAAAATTTTTTGATAAAATTCTTTACGAAAATTCAATTTTGAAAAAAATTCATTTATTAAATAACTTTTTCATTTTCGTATTTAAATAATTGAATTCTCGTAGAATTTTCTAATAAAAATTGTTTTAAAAATTAATTTCAGTTAAAATTTTAGATAATAATTGAATATTAAAAGTATTATAGCGTGAATTTATATAAATTATTGTATTTTAAAAAATTTGATTATTTTCGAATATTTTTTAATAAAATTGTTCGAAAGAAATCAACTATTTTAAATACAATTTTAATTAAATTTTTTTGAAATAATTCAATTATTCTTTTAGATTTTAATAAAATTCTTTCCAATAATTCAATTATTAAAGATAAATAACAAAATTATTCCCGAAATTTCAATTATTTTGAGGCATTTTAATAAAATTCTTTGGAAAATTCAATCATTTTTATAAAAATTCTAATAAAATCGTTCATAAAAATTTTATTATTTTCATAATAAATAAAATACTTTTTAGGAATTCAATTATTTTTAAAAAATTTAATAAAATGCGACACAAATTCAATTATTATTCTCAAAAGTTTTAATAGAATTCTCGTAGAACTTTCGAATAAAAATTGTTTTATAAATCAATTTCAATTGAAATTTTAGATAATAATTGAATATTAAAAACATTGTTATCTGAATTTTTAGAAATAATTGAATTTTGAAAAAGTTTCAAATTAAAATCTTTGAAAATTAAAATTTTTTTCTACTTTTATAACTGAAAATTCTGTAGAATTAATTGTTTTGAAAAAGTTTAATTGAATTTTTAAAAAAATTTATTTGATGTTTGTATTTTTTTGGATATATTTAATTAAAGAATTTCCTAATAAACGATATTTCGTAAAATTGAATTGTAAACAGATAGATTTGAAAATTATCTAGGAACTTTTGCAAAAATTATTAAAAATAATTGATAATTGTTCAATTTAGTTCAATTTAGTTTAAATTGTATTAAAAATAATTGAAATCTTGTGAAGAATTTTATTATTTAGGAAAATAATTGAATTCCTGCAACGAATTTTATTACATTTCTTTTTTATAATTGAAATCCTGTAAAGAATTTTATTATTCATGAAAATAATTGAATTCTTGTAACGAATTTTATTACATTTTTTTTTAAATAATTGGATTCCTTTGAGAATTTTTTTTAAAATGGTAGAGTTTGAAAATATTTGAATTTCAGCGAAGAATTCCATTATTTGTGAAATGTAATTGAATTCTTGCAAAAAATGTTTAAAAATAATTACATTGTTCGAGGAATTTATTTAAAATTGCATTAAAAATAATTTAAATCCTAGAAATAATTTTAATATTTGTGATAATAATTGAATTTTTACAACGAATTTTATTAGTTTTTTAAATTTATTGAATTGATGTGAAAAATTGTATTACTTTTAAAAATAATTGAATTCTTGCGAAGGATTTTATTAAAATTTTTGTAAATAAATTAATTTTTTTTTTTAAATTTTATGGAAGTTTAAATTATTATAAAACAGGAAGACAGCGAGAAGTCCGAGTCGAAGACTTGGAGTACTCAATATCTTCATGTTTTATAATAATATTCTTAAAAGTTATTGAATTTCAAAAGGTTTGAATTTAAAATTTTTGAAAATCTTATATTTTCTGTGAAAAAATAATAATAATTAAATATTTATTTAAAAATAAAACCATTGATGTTTTTGAATAATTTTACTTTTGAAGAAAATTGTAAATAAATGTAATAGAACATTTTTTTGAGTATCTAATAATTTTTAGAGTAAATCTTATTCTTTAGGGTCAGGGAAAAAGTGAAAATTTTGTCTTGAAATCAGGGAAAAGTCAGGGAAAAATAAAATTAATTTTTTTTGGCAACCCTGTTCTTCTTCTTTTTTGTAAGAAGTTGGTTATGATTTTTTTTTTGCATTATTACAGTAATAATTCAGAAGTAGCTGTTGAATTTTACGATGTGGAATATTTAGAAAGTTACAATATGAATGTATAATAATATTTACATATCAAAGGGTATAATAAATTTTAATATTTACAGTAGAATGTGGGTAGGGATGGGGAGACATGAAGACGGAACCCTTGTCAATTTTATATTCTTATACTCTCTCTCATATAAGTTAAGAGAGACAAATTGTATAATGAATTTTTTATTAAACTCGACACAGGTCCCTTTTTTCGATTATAGCATACATTAATTTATTGATGCAATTTTTGGTCTCGCTCTATGAAAAAAACAGCTTGTCATCATATTTTCCCCCTTTTCATTCATGCATAATATTAATAAGAAACAAAAAAAATTGTTCAAAAGATAGCATGATTTTTTTTCTTATTTATTACAGGTTTATACAAGGTTTATACATGTTTCAAGCAAATGGTGTTGATTTTTTATTTTTTTTCCGCCATTTTGGATCCGCCATTTTGAAATTTGTCATGTTAGAGAAAATTTAATGAAAAATTTGCATTCAGCTTTAAAAAAATACATTAAAAATTGCTCTTACTTTTTCGGATCCAAAAGTTGACCTAAATTTATTTTCCTATGTATTAAGAGTTCAAAGGATTTCTTATTAATTATTATAATATCTTTTTGACGAAAATAAATTAATTATTTTATTTCCTACAAAATCAATTAACTTTTTGCAAATGTAATTAAATTTCTTCTTTTATTATATTATTAAACTTTTGATTTTAATTTTCAATTAATTATACTTTTATTTTCTAAAAATGTTCTGACAAAATTGACATAATTTATTTTCTTTTTTATAAAAGCGAATGGTGTCGTTTATAATTTGTGTACTTGGGACAGAAAGTTGGAAAACATTTTTTTTTCGTCTCTTCTCTGGATAATTTTGTAAGACAAAAAAAAAGAAAGTTTAAAGTAAAAAAAATTAGCTGTTTTCTGTTACGTTGGGTTCGTCCCTCAATTTAACTTCAGGACTTATTGCTCTGCTGAACTCCTTGCGTGACCTTGACCTCCTCCACTGAGTTTTATCCTAAGATAAATAAAATATTATGGAATTTTTTATTTTTCTTATTAAAATTAATGTTTCTAAGTTTATTATGATTTTATGTGAGGAGAAAAAAGTTTGGACTTTTATTTTTCTTAAATAATGAGCATTAAAGAGTAATTATCACCGTCTAACCGAAGTTGCTTTGATAAAATAATGATACGAACGATTAGAGAAACTTTAATGAATTGTTGTCCAGACTGTGGGATCAATAATTTTTTTTTTAATTTATGTGATCAATATTAATGAAGGCGCAATTATTAGCGACTATCAAGTTCAAGCATCAAAATTTCTCATTTATACTTAATACATTTCATAAATTTTAAACGTCACGTTTGCGATAAATTTCATGTTTTTCGAGAAAGGTCAGACGAGAGAACTGTCCGAGGAAAAAAAAATTGGAGGGAAAAAACAACCTGAAAATGTCATTTTAAAAATTTCGATCTGCTTTTTATTATTATTAGAAAATATGTCTGACTGAAAAATTCTTATACTACTGACAGTATAAATTGGGAATTTCAAGAAGACAATTTTTTTTTCTAAACATTAACTTTTATCACTGAAAGGAAAAATTATAAAACTTTTTTACACGTTTTGTTCTCTAAATTTAAATTAGCAAATTTTTTTTTCTTGTAATTCTCATTTCAAAATTTGTCCTTTTTATATTAAAAAAAATGTCTGACTAAAACGAACTTTTCTACTGACAATCAACTACTGAAATTTTCGAAAATTACAACAATTTTTTGGAAAGAAAAATAAATTTTATTACTAAAATGAAAATAGAAAAATTTTTATACTCATTGTTTGCTTTTAATTCTAATTTCAAAATAATACTTTTTATTGGAATAGAAAAACAAGTCTGACTAAAACAACTTTTTACTACTGACAGCAAACTTTTGACAGGAAATTAAAAACAAAAAAAACATTTTAATAATTGAAATGAAAATTATAAAATTTTTAATTATTTCGTTTGTTTTCAATTAAAATTTCAATATCTGTCCTTTTTATAATTAAAACAAAAAATTTCTGACTAAAACGAACTTTTACTACTGAAATTTTTAGAAATTACAACAATTTTTTCTAGAAAAAAATTAATTTTATCATTGAAATTATTTATAAATAATAATATAATAATATAATAATAAATAATATAAACAAATAATAATTTATAATAATTCAAACTTCAAAAACTTTCTTTTATTATATTAGTAAAACAAGACTGACTGAAACTGGTCTTTACTACTGAAAGCAAACTTAAAATTTTTAAAAGAAAACAAATTTTTTTAAATTAAAATGAAAATTACAAAATTTTTAATTATTTTCTCTGCATTTAATTCAAATTTCAAAATTTGACCTTTTTGTATTAAAAAAATATGTCTGACTAAAACTAATTTTTACTTCTGACAATCAAAAACTGAAATTTTGAAAAATTACAACAATTTTTTGTTAGAAAAACATAAAATTTATCACTAAAATGAAAATTATAATTTTTTTTGACACTTTTTGTCTATTTTCAATTCAATTTTCAAAACCCGCCTTATATTAAATTAAAAAAATAAGTCTGACCGAAACTGGTTTTTACTACTGACAGCAAACTTAAAATTTTAAAATGAAAAAAATATTTTGAAAAGAAAAATAAATTTTATCACTAAAATGAAAATTAAAAATTTTTTATACTTTTTGTCTGCTTTTAATTCGAGTTTTAAAAAAAAAACTTTTATTATATTAGAAAAAGAAGTCTGACTAAAATTACTTTTTACTACTGACAGCAAACTTTGATAGAAAATTTTAAAAAGAAAAAACACTTTAATCATTAAAATGAAAATTATACATAATTTTTTAATTATTTTGTCTGTTTTTAATTCAAATTTTAAAATTTGTCTTTTTATATTAAAAAAAATATGTCTGACTGAAACTCATCTTTACTATTGACAGAAAACTGAAATTTTCAAAAACTACAAATTTTTTTCGTACAAGAAAATAAATTTTATCACACAAATGAAAATTATAAAATTTGTTTTGTCTATTTTTAATTCAAATTACAAATAACCGCCTTTTATTATATTAGAAAAATAAGTCTGACCGAAACTGGTTTTTACTACTGACAGCAAACTTAAAATTTTGAAAAGAAAAAAAAAAAATTTTTTAACAGAAAAATCACTTTTATATTGAAAATTAAATAGTTTTTAATCTTTTTTCATACTTTCAATTTCAAATTTAAAAATCTTTTTTTTTGCACATTAAAAAATTATGTCTGACTAAAACTATTTTATACCAAAAAATAAATCTTCATCACTAAAATGAAAACTAAAAATTTTTATCACTTTGTCTGAATTTAAAAATAAAATTCGATAATCTGCTTTTTTATTATAATGGGGAAAAATATGTCTGACTGAAATTGTCTTTCACTACTTGCACTTTAATAAGAAGAATAAAAATTGTTCTGTAGCAAATAGAAAGCATATTGTAGTGAAATAAAATAAAATTTTAATTTTATAATTCGTTATTTTAAAACGTAAAAATTTTCATTAAACTTTAAATTTAATTTAAAAATATTGATTAAATTGCTTACATCCGGTTCTAAAAGTCGAAAAATCGTTGTCATATCTCTGCAAATATTTTCTATTTTCAGTCGTTCCATTGTTAGCTATTGGAAATAATTTTGAAATTTGATTAGTAACATATATTAATTAGTCAGTTATAGATTTAAATTAACTGAAAGTAATCATTACTATATAGAGTAAAATTAAAGGTAAAACTGAAATAAATAATTTATAAATAACTTATAAAAAAATTTAAATAATGACAAATAATAACAGGTGGTAATAAATAAATTCTACTTAATAATAAATAAATAAATAATAATAATAATAATAATAATAAATAATAGTAATAATTTTAATAAAATAAAATAAATTTATTAAAATAAATAGAAAATAAAATAAAAGTAATAATAAAATTGTAATAATAATAATAATAATAATAAAAATAATAATAATAATACCCAATAATTGAAATAATAAATTATCATAATAATAAAAGAATCATAAAGGGTACAATAACTGACAAAAGAACTAAAATAAAAAACTTGAATGTCGTTCATAGTAATTAACTAAAACTTAAGTTATTTTGAAGTATATAATATAAAAACGAATTTAACTGATAATTATACGTATTTTTTTTTTATTCCTTTTGGAATGAAAAAGAATTTATGTGCTTTAATTAAAAATAATTAATGTCCCAATTAACATCGTGTAAAGGTGTTAATTGGTAAATAAATAAATGAAAGAAAGAGTGAATTTTTTTCTGTTTTTTTTTTTTTTTAAATAAAAAATTACTACTAAAATAGAAAAGCAAATAATAAAAATAGAAACAATGTTGTGATAATAAGTTGTTATGTTTTAATATAAAGTTTATTTTCCGCTTTATTATGATGAATTACAAATATTTACTTTATATCATATTATTAACCACATTAATTGTGACATTTATTGTTTTCAATTAAAGTCCATAATTATTTTTTAATCCTTCTATATTAGGTAAAGTAATTTTTATCCATTTTTGGATAAATTCAAATTTATTGAATATATTTAAAATATATATTGACAACTCGTAATTAATTTTTTAAACATGGAATTTTAAATTCATTATACTTCTTTTTCTAGAATCTATTGAAGGAAATTTTAATTTTTGCTCTAGATAAGAGAGATAATTTAAATTATAATTTAATGAAAAATAATTATGTATTTATTTATTTATTTATTTATTTATTCAAAAGAATTTATAATATGTATTTTAAATAAATAATTTTTTTATTATATTTTCACTGCGCTTTAGTTTGAAATTCAAATTAGTTTGTTTTTCATTCAATGTATTATTATAAAATATGAAAATATTTTTAAATATTTTTTTTTTCTTCTTATTTTGCATACAATAACCGAATTAAATATTTTAGTAGAAAAAAAATTCTTGTTTGTTCGGTAAGAATGGAATAAAAAGTAATAGAATAAAAGTAAAATTTTCTATTGAAATAAAAGATAGAGGTTAATTATTATTAATTAATAAAAAATGAAGCATTAGAGAATAATTAGGGGAATTCTTTTCTTGTCGAAATAATTAATTTTTATACAAAAATGGTAATTGTTTTTTTTTTGTAATGTTGATTAATGCTTGGAAAATTTATTTTTAATTGTACTATATTTTTTATCTCATCAAAGAGATGTGTTTTTATCGGAAAAAAAATAATAGGAAATATTTTTTACTCATCAATATAAATATAATGTATTCTAAATTAAAAAAATTGAAAAATATGTGACGCTCCACGAGAAAAGGGACCTTATTTACTCTTGTCATAAGGTCCCTTTTCTTGTGGAGCGTCACATATGTTTTTCTCAACTAAATATATTTTAATTAACTAAAAAATATTTACTATTATTATTTTTTTGTGATTAAAACAACATAGTAATTTTCTCATATTAATTACTAATAAATATTAAATTATTTATTAATAATTTATATTAATTATTATATTGAAGTAAAATTATTTTTCTGGGTGAGACAAGAAAAGAAATTTCCGAGAGTATTGAAAAATCGATAGAAAAAAAAGTATCGTGTACGAGATAAATAAAAGAAAAATTGAAAGCTTACTGTTTTTTTGGTGTTTTCTTGGAAGAGATCCCTGTGTCGTAGCTGTAAAGTCAATCGAGTATAATATCAGCTTTCCGACGAGTGACTTACAAGAAAAAAGGAAAATAAAAAAAATTCACAAAAGAATCAACGCCTTTAGGGCATCAATCACTAATTTTTAAAATACTTAAACTTACGTGTTTGTATACACACTCGTACACTGGCTTTATTTTCAATAAGCTCTGCTTTCTTGGCATTTTCTAAAAATCATTTTTTTTTTATATAAATATCCGATTTTATTCATTTATTATTTATTTATATGTACTTATGATTTATTTGTTATTATTTTTCAAAAATATTAGTAATGAAGGGAAATTTTAGTTTGAACATTACGTTAACACATTTAATTAAATAAATAAACAAAATAACATTTTCACAGGAATTGAATCATTTAAAATATTTCATAAAATTTTGAGAAAAAAATCAATTAAAATTTTTTTTTATAAAATTCTACTGCAAGAATAATTTAATTATTTTCACAAGCAATAACATTTTTCAGGAAAATTCAATTATTTATCGAAATTTAAATAAAATTTCAGGCAAGAATACAATTATTTTCGCAAAAATAATAAAATGCTTCTCAACACTTCAATTATCTACTTTTAAAAAATTTAATAAAATTCTTCACAAGAATTCAATTATTTTGCCAAAGAATAAAATTTTTCAGGAGAATTCAATTATTTGAAAAGAAATTATTAAATTAAATTCTTCGCAAGAATTCAATTATTTTCATAAATAAAAAAATTCTTCTCAGAAATTCAATTATCATTAAAAATAACAAAACTCTTCTCCGCCGTTCAATTATTTTCCGAAATTTTAATAAAGTTCTTGGAAAATTTCAATTATTTATAAAAATTTCCATAAAATTCTTCGAAACAATTTAATTATTTTTAATAATTTTAGTTCAAAAAATTTCATTATATTCTTCGTGGAATTCAATTATCTTAATAATAGTAAAATTATTTGCAGTAATTCAATTATTTTCATAAATAATAAAATTCATCTCAAGAATTCAATTCATTTCAATTTAATTCAATTGTATAAAAATACAATTTTAATTAAATTATTCAAAATAATTGAATTTATTCTTTTAAATTTTCATAAAATTTAAAAAAATTCAATTCTTCCTGAAAAATTTAACAAATTTCATCTTAAGAATTCAATTATTTTTACAAATAATAAAAATTTTAACTGGAATTAAATTATTTAAAAACATTCAATAAAATTCGTTGCGAAAATTCAATTTTTTTTTTTAAATAATAAAATTCTTTGCAAGAATTCAATTATTTTCATAAATGATAAAATTTTTTTGAGAAATTCAATTATCTCGCTAAATAATAAAACTCTTTTCCGAAATTCAATTATTTTCCAAAATTTTAATAAAGTTCTCCGCAAATTTCAATTATTTATAAAAATTTCCACAAAATTCTTCAAAAGAATTTAATTATTTTTAATAATTTTAGTGTAATGCTCAACAAGATTTAATTATTTTTAAAAAATTTCTTAAAATTCTTCGTAGAATTCAATATTATGTTAATAATAATAATAAAGTTCTTAGCAGTAATTCAATTATTTTTTGGATTTTTAATAAAATTCTTTGTAAAATTCAATTATTTTCACAAATAATGAAATTTATCGCAAGAATTCAATTACTTTTATACAATTGAGCTGCCGGATCAAAGAAGGGCACATAACCAATGTAATTCAAATGGGTTATGTGCCCTTCTTTGATCCGGCAGCTCAATTTTAATTAAATTATTCGAATTTATTGAATTTATTTTTTTAAATTTACATAAAATAATTTTAAAAATTTCAATTATTTTCAAAAAATTTAACAAATTTGTCCTCAAGATTTTAATTATTTTTACAAATATGATACAAATTTTAACAGTTATATTGATTATTTTTAAAAATTTAATAAATTTCGTTTGTAAAAATTCAATTATTTTCGCACAAATAATAAAACTCTTCTCAAGAATTCAATTACCTACTTTTAAAAATTTTAATAAAATTCTTGACAAGAATTCAATTATTTTTGTAAATAATAAAAATTTTCACTAGAATTCAATTATTTTAAATGAATTAAATAAAATTCTTCGCATAAATTCAATTATTTTTATAAATAATAAAATTCTTCTTAGAAATTCAATTTTGTTTTTAAAAAATTAATAAATTCTTTATAAGAATTAAATTTTCAGAAACATTCAATTATTAAATATATTATTTATTTTTGTATTTAAATAATTGAATTTTAGTTGAAATTTCTAATGAGAATTAATTTAAAAAAACCAATTTCAGTTGAAATTTTAGATAATAATTAAATATTAAAAGCGTTATTATAGTTATAGTACGATTTTTTTTTAGAAATAACTAAATTTTAAAAAATTATTAAATTGAAATTGTTGAAAATTTTAATTGTTGTAAAACTGTAATAACATTAAAATTTTTACTTTGAAAAATTATTAATTTATTTTCTTAATTCTTGTGAAGAATGGAAATTAAATTTTGTTAAATAATTTTATTTGTTTACTTTGAAAAATTACTTTTAAATACAATTGTATTTTTTAGGATAAAAATTGAGAAAATAATTGAATTTTTCAAAAATTTCTCAGCAGGATTAGAATAAGAATAAATATTTTTGATTGATACTTTTTTAAAATTAATTTTTAAGTGTGAAGCCTGTAATTATTTATAATTAAATTTAGAAAAGTTTGTTCAATTAATTACCTAATAATAAACGGATATTTAAAATCTCGAATTAAAAAATTAATTATTGGATATTTAACGAAATACATATGCCAAGAAGTATAAAATATTATTTATTTTGTTGATAGACAAGTCGTTTTAATCGTTTATTTTGAGTTGAAATAATTTTTTTTTAATTAATTATTATTTAATTGAATCTATTGATTAAAATCGAAAAGAAAGAGAATATAATTAATTTACCTCATCAGAATCTTTCTCTAGACTTTCAGCGTGTGTTTTATTAATTTCGGAAATTCTCAAAATCTGAAAAAAATAAATTCATTACAATAAGAAATCGAAGGTATAATATATTTTACGATTATTTTCGATCAATCATTTGAAGAGTATGTCTACAAGTTTTTGATTAAAAATGAATTCAATCAGCAAGTATAGTTTACGAAGTAAATTGTAAAAAATAAGTCTTGTGTGTTTTTGCAATCAATAAAGTTCATCAAACAGTAAATTAAATTTAAAGAACAACTTCACTTTGCTCTTATGATGTATTAGAAAAAAAGTTTTATTTTTCTACACGATATTGAAAAGAAGTTGTAAAAATTTTTTTCTAATTTAAAAAAATACTTTTTCAATCTAATTATTATAATGTTTAATTCGTTGAAATTGATAATTTAATTCTTTTCCTTTTTAAATAACGTGTATATTAATTAACAGTGAAGAAATTAACAGTGAATTCTTTAGGTACTATAAAAATTATTGATAAAGAAGAGAAAAGAAAAATTGTGATTTTCGAAGCAAGATAAAAATTTAATGTCATTATTATTAAAAGGAGAATATTTAAAATTTTTTTAAATGAAAAGAATTATGAGAAAATAAAAATATAATTCTTGTCGTGTAAAACTCTTTAAAGAAGATTATTAGAAAAATGTAAAAATCCTTTTTTTTTATAACAATGAAAATTTCAAGGAAATAAAAAATAAAAATGAGAAGAAAAGAATAAATGGCATCCGTTATGAAAAGTGATTTTATGTTGTCATAAAAAAGTGCATATTTGAAGTACAATTTTATTTGCAGAAAATGTATCAAATTGAATTTCGATTTCTGAGGATCGAAGGGGTATATAAAAGTAGTTAGTGTTCTTCATTTTTTTCTCTTTCTCTCTCTTTTATTAACGAGAATGTGAAAAAGGTTGATACATTTTCTTGCAAACTATATACTAACATACTTTTGTATATATATATGTTGGCTGGTATAAAAAGCGATATTAAACCATCTGCATGCTTTGTGTATGCCTGCACTTAAAAATGCGTGTATACCTTGCTCGCGGCTAACGTATCAGCACTGAGATATTACTTTTTGCCGGCTATAAAACGTTACTTCATCTATGCGCACATATATATTCCTACGTCGAGAGCATATCCTCAAAAAAATATATAACTTATGAATTACTTTTCTACTAGAAATGACGACAAATTAAACAGCTCTCAAACATTATAATATAAAAGAGTATTTGTATATTATCGGTTTTTTTAATCTACCTTTTTTACAATCATTTTTTTCTACCAATATTTTCTCTTGTAACAGACTTTTTCCCAAAGAATTCCAAAATGAATTTTGGCGCCAATCTATGGCCATTACTTGACTTCCCAAAGTTTGAAAAATAAAGAAATAAAATAATAAAAAATAATAAAAAATAATAAAAAAATAAAATATAAATTAATAAATAAAATAATTTAAATAATTTAATTATTATAGTTAAATAATATGCTGGATAAATAAACAAAAAAGCACAACTGTAAAAAGAGTCAAACAAATTTTTTCCTTTACTATAAAGTATTCCCAAACTGAAATTTAATTTGATTTTCTATAAATGAATGAAAAATGAAAATTTAGTTAAAATATAGTAAAAATAAAGTAAAAGTACAGGAAAGATGGAAAATTTTTAGAATTCAAAAGAATATAATAATTAATTATTAAAAATAATGAACTCTTAATAACTCTTAATAATAAAGTTAATTCTTAACTGAATTCTTTTTATAGAAGAATTTTACGTAAAAACAGTAAAAAAATTAAATTTTGAAAAAGTTACAAATTATTGCAGAAATTCAATTATTTTCAAAAGTACAAATAAAATTATTCGCAGAAATTCAATTTTGTTCGAAAATTTTAATAAAATTCTTGTCAAAATTTCAATTATTTTTATAAATAATAAAATTCATCCCCGAAATTAAATTACTTTCAAAAATCTTAATAAAAAATTCTTGGCAAAATTTCAATTATTTTCAAAGATTTTTTTCAATTCAATGCTACTATTTTAAAAAAAATTTTATATAAATCTACGCCAACATGTAATTATTTTTAAAACTTATAAAATTTTTACATGGATTCAATTATTTTTATAAATGATAAAATTTTTTAACAGGGATTCAATTATTTTCATAAAATAATAAAAAACAGTAATCGCACAATTTCTATTTTATTCCTAATATAATTTTAATCAAATTTCTCGAAAAATGTAATTATTCTTAAAATTTTTTTTTTTAAATTCGTTAAAAGAATTCAATTATTTTTAAATATTTGTTGATAAAATTCTTTAGAAAAATTTAATTTTAAGAAATATTCAATTATTCAATTATTTAAAAACTTGTTGATAAAATTCTTTATGAGAATTCAATTCTAAGAAATAATCAATTATTCAATAATTTTCAAAAGTAAAAAAATTCCTCCCAAAAATTTAATTATTTTCAGGGCTCGGATTGTGCGACTTTTTCCGACTTTTTTTTGACTTTTCTAAGGAAATGGGACTTTTGTCGACTTTTTTGTGAAAATATGCGACTAATCGACTTGTTCGAGATTTTTTTTTTTAGTAAAATGCGAATGAAATTTAACAATTTTTTTTAAATTTAAAGGAAAAAGTTTGAGTAAGAAAAATGTTCTGTTACATTTATTTACAAATTTCTTTCAAATTTTTCGAAAACATCAATTATTTCTTTTTTATAATAATTAAAGATGACCGAGTGATAAAATTATTAATTTATATTAAAAGACCTTAGGAAAAAAAATTTTTTTAAATTATTTTTTATGCAAATAATTGATATATTGGGAAGAAATTTATAAAACATTAGTAAGTAATTGAATTTTGCAGAAGAATGTTAATATTTACAAAGATAATTGAAATTTTGAAGGGAATTTGAAAAAAAAAATTTTTGAAAATAATTGAATTTCTGTGAAGAATTTTCTTACTTTTGAAGATAATTGAATTTTGCAAAGAATTGTATCAGAACTTTTGAAAATAATTAATTTTCCAGGATAAATTTTATTATTTATGAAGATAATAAAAATTTTAACGAGGAATTTAAAAAAAATTTTGAAAATAATTGAATTTCTGCGAAGAATTTGATTACTTTTGAAAATAATTGAATTTCTAGGATGAATTTTATTATTTATAATAAAGATATTTAAAATTTGACAAGAATTTTATTAAAATTCTTTGCAAATATTTGAATTTCTGAGTAAAATTTTTTTAAACGTTTTGAAAATAATTTAATTATTACAAATATTTTTATTATTATTTGAAAGTAATTGAATTCATAAGAAGAATTTTATTTTAAATTTGTGAAAATAATTGAATTTTTGCGAAGAATTTTATTACTTTTGAAGATAATTGAATTTCAGCGAAGAATATTATATTACTTTTGAAAATAATTAAATTTCTAGGATGAATTTTATTATTTATAAAGATAATTGAAATTTTGACAAGAATTTTATTAAAATTTTTGTTAAATAATTGCATTTCGGAGAAGAATTTTATCCTTTTTTGGAAATTTTATGCGACTTTTCTTGACTTTTGTTGTAAATTTATGCGACTAAAGCAACTTTTTTTGAGTCTCAAAGACGACAAAAAATTTTCAAAAAGAATTTAATTATTTAAAAAAAAAATTATTGATAAAATTCTAAGCAAACTTTCAATTATTTTCATAAATAATAAAGATTTCACTGGAATTCAATTATTTAAAATAGATTTTGCAAAATTTTTTTTATGAAATTCTTACCAAGTATTTAATTATATTCACAAATAATAAAACTCATTGAAGATTTTAAATTATTCGTAATAAAATTTTAATCGAATTCCTCGAAAAATGTAATATTATTCTTAAAAATGTTATTAAAATTCATCGAAAGAATTCAATATTATTTAAAAATTTGTTTGCGTGAATTTTTAGAAATAAATAATTAGAATATTTTTTAGGTTCAGGGAAGATTTTGTCTGCAAATCAGAGAAAAGTTAGGAAAAAACAAAATTATGTTAAATTTACTTTCACTCTTTTTTACTATTATTTTTTCTTTTAACATTAACTTTTTATTATTTCCCCAAAGTTTTTTTTTCATTGAATTTCTAATTATTTACTTATAAGAATTTGTTATTTTTAGAATAAAACTTTTCTTTATTGTTGAACTGTTATTTAGAAATTTAGAAGAAAGTTATGAAAGAAGTTACAGATAGAAACGTTTGAGAAAATAAAAAAAATATATAAAAATAATAAAAATAAAGTTAAATGTTGTGTATTATATATACATTTATGGTGAAATATATTTTTTTCACTTGTGTTTCTAAATTAGAACATGTGTTCATTCTTTGGTCTCCTTATTATTTAAATATATGCATTTTTACTGGCATATTTTGCAAGGTAAAAGAAATTAATTTAATAAATGCAATAATTTTGCGGCTATATATAGTGTTGCGCTTTAGTTTTATGTGAAATTCTACGTCATTCGCTACTGTTACCTTCATAAAATTGCCTGCTGTAATTAACCAAGCGCAGTTTAGTGGTTTTAATGAAAAATATTTGTTTAGACCTTATGTGTATATAAACACAGTTATTCAAAAGAATTTTTTGTTTGTTTGAGTATTTCATTACGGTAGAATAATATTATAATTTTATGTTATTATTACAATGTTAAATTGTTAATTAAATTAATTAAATTATCGCTATATTCGATATAAAAAAAATAAAAAAATAATAATAATAATATTAATAATAAATATAAATGTTAATTAATTAAAATGTTCCTATGCTTTTGTTGATTACCGTTAAATATTAATTTGTGTAATAATAAAAAAGGTTATAAAAACAAATAATAAAAAACACAGTAAAAATAATAATTTAGTATTCTATAAAATTATTTCTATAGTCATTTTTGGTCAGGAATAATTAATTACGTAGTTAATAAGTAAATTTTTAAAATTTTTATTCTGAAATTATTAAAAGTTATTATTATTAAAATTATTATTATTACAGGCCTCGGATATTATGACTTTTTCGACTTTCTTCAATTTTTTAGTGTGAAAAAAACTGTAGACAAATCTTTCAAAAATTATTTTTTAATAATTTTTCTAATTAAATTTTCGAAATATACAATTAAAAAGATTTTGAATAATTGAAATTTTGTAAAATTTAATTGAAAATAATTGATTTTTTTGCAAGTATTATTATAACAATTTTTGAAAATTAACTTTTGAAGAAATTTAATTGCAAATTTAGTAAAAATAATTGAATTTTCAAAAAAAAATTTATGAAAAATCTTCAAGTGTAAATTTATGAAAATGAAAATTAATAAAAACTAGCTTCTAAAAAATAATATTAAATTTTTTTTTAGAAAAGTAATTCTTAGAATTTTTTTTATTATAAATTTTTAAAATTCAATTATTTTCAATATTTTCAAAATTATAATTCCCAAAATTCAAATACATAGGTACAAAAAATAATACAAACATTAAAATTTTTCAGAATTATTTTTAACATTTCGGAAAAAATAATAATTGTGGAAATTTTTAATTAAAATTCTTCAAAAAATTACTTTTTTTTTTGAAATTGTACAAAAATTCTTTTAAGAAATTCAATTATTTTCGAAAAATTACATCAGAATATTTTTAAAAAACTAATTCTCAGAATTGTTTTATCATAATTTTTTAAGATTTACTTATCTACTTATTATAAAGTGAATTATATTTTTTTTTAAATTTACTTCTTTAGATTTTAAAGATTTCTAAAATAAGATTAGATTATATATCTAAATTTCTTGAAAAATTTGATTATTTTATATTTTTCAAAAATTATTATTATTTTTAAAAGATTTTGTCAAATTTCAATTATTTTTAAACGATTTTACCAAAATTCAATTATTTTTAAACGGTTTTACCAAAATTCAATTAGTTTTAAACTATTTTACCAAAATTCAATTAGTTTTAAACGATTTTACCAAAATTCAATTTTTTGAAGAATATTTTATAAAATTTCAATTATTTTTAAATGATTTTACCAAAATTCAATTTTTTGAAGAAGATTTTATCAAATTTTAATTATTTTAAAAATATTTTACCAAAATTCAATTATTTTTAAACGATGCGTTACCAAAATTCAATTAGTTTTAAACGTTTTTACTAAAATTCAATTATTTTTAAACGATTTTAACAAAATTCAATTAGTTTTAAACGATTTTACCAAAATTCAATTTTTTGAAGAATATTTTATAAAATTTCAATTATTTTAAAAATATTTTACCAAAATTTAATTGTTTTAAGAAGATTTTATCAAAATTCAATTATTTTTAAAAGATTTTACCATAATTCAATTGTTTTAAAAAGATTTTATCAAAATTCAATTATTTTTAAACGATTTTAACAAAATTCAATTAGTTTTAAACGATTTTACCAAAATTCAATTTTTTGAAGAATATTTTATAAAATTTCAATTATTTTAAAAATATTTTACCAAAATTTAATTGTTTTAAGAAGATTTTATCAAAATTCAATTATTTTTAAAAGATTTTACCATAATTCAATTGTTTTAAAAAGATTTTATCAAATTTCAATTATTTTTAAACGATTTTACCAAAATTCAATTAGTTTTAAACTATTTCACCAAAATTCAATTATTTTTAAACGATTTTAACAAAATTCAATTAGTTTTAAACGATTTTACCAAAATTCAATTTTTTGAAGAATATTTTATCATATTCCTTTTTTTTAAAAAAGATTTTACCAAAATTCAATTGTTTGAAAGTTTTGTAATTGTATATATACACTGTAAAAAAAGGAAGTTAAATTTTAACTCCCCAGGGGAGTCTATAAAAGTCGCACCCATTGGAGAGTTAATGCCAGGGGAGTTAAATAAAGAGAGTTAAAATTTAACACCCAAATGCTAACTCCCCATGGAAAAAATAACTCGCGCGGGTGTTGAATGAAGGGAGTTAGAAATTAACTCTCTTTTGGAGTTGATTTTTAACTCGAAAAATTTAACTCTCAACTCCCGAGTCCGTTAACTCCCTAAATTTTTTACAGTGTATAATTGAAAGACATCTTTAAAAAATTATATAAAAATATTTAAAAAAAATTAATTTTAAGTCTTTCTTTATTTTAATTTTTTAAAAATATTATACCTTAATAACTTTAAAATAACATGGACAATAATTACAGTTACAAGATAAAAATTTGACTTTTTTTTTGTAATTTAAATCGAAAAAAGTGACTTTTTTTGTTTTTTAAAGTCGATCCGAGGCTTGTTATTATTATCATTATTAAAAATTAAAGTTGATATTTGAAAATAAGAAATTTTTGTAGTTTGCATAATAATAATAAATGAAATACTGCGTTTCGCGCTCCACTTGAGACCGCCAAGGTCGCCACCAGAGGGCAGGAGAAATTCCAAGAAGTAAACTGCCACCTAGCGGTGACCTTGGCGTTCGCAGGTGGAGAATTCCATCTCCATATTGAATCTCAAGATTTTCGTCAATATTCCTAATTCTATAATTATTTACAACCAAATTTAGACAATTTGGCAATTAATACAAACGGATTTCAATTTTTAATTTACTTTGCTTTTCGATATTTTTATCATCTTCAATTTTTTGAGTCTTAGAATTAATTTCTTCACTACTCTCTAAATTTGAATTAGTAAAACTATTTACTAATTAGAATTAGTGACTGACTTTTTGCATTTGAATTAGTCAATTTTACTAAAAAAATTAGTAGAAACCACTATTTATTAGTAAAATAAATTGAATTTACTAATTCAGAAGCAAAAAGTCAGTCACTAATTCAAATTAGTAAAGATTTTTACTAATTCAAATTTAGAGAATGAATAAATTTATATTTAAAATCTCGGTTTAAGAAATAGTGGCTTTTTTTAAAGAAATAATTGTAATTAAAATTAATTAATTAATTAATTTTTTTTTAATTAATTGTAACTTATTTATTAAAATAGTAGCTAAATAGTTTTATGAAGTGAGAAAAGTGTCAAAAATTATCAATATAGTTTCGTGAGTTCAAGGTCTATTCCCCTGTTATAATTTTTGTCTGTTTTATTTTGAGTTTGTCTTTTTTTATTTCAAGTGAATAATTTAATGAGTTTTCTTATGAATATGAATAAATATATATATATATTCCTTTCCGTGTTTATTATAGTGTAAATGAAATGAAAAGTATATTATAGAAGTTTAGTGCTGCTGTAAATTAATTTCCTCGTAAGAGTGTTGCAAGTATTATTATTTAAGGTTACTTTTAATGGAGCCCTTCAATTATGAGTATTTTTTTTTTTTTTGAGGGGGGGGGGTGAAATTATAACAATTTCTTCTTTTGTAATAATAATAATACATACGGCCAGTGCACACGCGATTATTGTGACTGCTATGGCGCACGTGAAAAAGGTGACGGGTCCACAATTCGAATCGTTGCCAAGAAGTGTTCTAAGGTTGCTGTCCGTGACCAGGAAGCGGTAAATCTAAAGTCAGAAAATTTACTCTTAAAAGCATGCACGGGAAGAATGGCGGCCAAGATTAATAGCAAAGTCTGTAAGAAAGATATGGCGTTCTTGTTCATTTTCTTTTTTGTTCTCTCCCCCCCCCCCACTCTCCCTCTTTTTATTTTACAATTTTACGTGTGAATTAGACACAATTTGTATTCCCGCAAGTCTCGTTATCTAAACGCTTTACAATGATATAAATCTTGTAGCTTTTACTTCTTTTCCGCTCATTTTAATTCATCTTGTTTTTTTTTTTTTTTTTTTTTTTTTTTTCTTTTTGCTACACTACTCAACTTTTACAGCTCTCAAGGCTAATACATTATTTTTTTATAGTCCTCTTGTGAATAACAGAGACAGTTTTTAAATTAGTTATTAATCTTTTAGCTGATGGAAAATGTGGTCGTTCTTTTCTTTTTGAAATAATGTAAGGTTTTTTTTTTTTGAAAGTGGGTGAATTTTGTCATTTGGAAGAATTTCATATTGAGAGGAAATTGACACTAGAATGTTACAATTTTTTTTTTTTACATTTTGACTACTTTAAATCTGCTAAAAATTGAAATAAAAAAATTATTCTAAAAAATTTTAATAAAATTCTTCTTAGAGACAATTGAAAATTTTTAAATAAAATTCTTTGAAACAATTCAACTATTTTTAGTAAGTTTTGGAAAATTTTTTTGACAAAAATTCAATTATTTAAACACAAAGAATAAAATTCTTTGCTGAAATTCAAATATTTTCAATTTTTCAAAAGAATTCAATTATTTAAAAAATATTTAAACAAAATTCATAAAATAATTCAAAAAAATCAATTATTTTCAAAAAATTCAACAAAATCCTTCTAAGAATATTCAATTATTTTTTTCAAATACTAAAATTTTTCACTCGAATTCAATTATTTAGAAAAATTCAATAAAATTCGTTTAAAGAATTCAATTATTTTTATGAATAATAAAATTCTTCTTCGAAATTAAATTATTTTCAAAAATTTTAATAAAATTCTTCGCAAATAATTGAATTAATATCGTGAATAATAAATATTTCACAGGAATTCAATTATTTACAAATTTTTTATAACTTTCTTTGACAAAATTCAATTATTTTCACAAATAACATTATTTTTACCAGAATTCGATTATTTTAAAAAATTAAATAAAATTCGTTGACAGAATTCAATTGTTTTCATAAATAACAAAATTCAGCATAAGAATTCAATTATTTTTAATCCAATTTTCATAATTGTAATCGAAACAATTCAATTATTCTTTTACATTTTTATAAAAATTCTTCAAAAAAAACTTCAATTATTCACAAAAATTTTAATAAAATTCTTCACAGGATTTCAATTATTTCCAAAAATTTAAGTAAAATCCTTTGCAAGAATTCAACTATTTTAACAAATAACAACATTTTTCATAGGAATTCAATTATTTATAAAAAAAATTTAATAAATTGTCGCACGAATTCAATTATTTTCAAAAATAATCAAATTCTTCTCAGGATTCCAATTATTTTTAATACTATTTCAGATGAACTCCTCGAAAAAATTCAATTATTCACAAAAATTTTAATAAATACCTTTGCAAGAATACTATTATTGCCACTAATAATAAAATTTGTCATGAAAATTCAATTCTTTAAAAATTTTATTATAAAATTCGTTGAAACAATTCAATTCTTTAAAAATTTTACTATAAAATTCGTTGAAATAATTCAATTATTTTTTAATACAATTCTCATTAAATTATTTGAAACAATTAAATTATTCTTTTAAATTGTCATGAAATTATTTAAAAAAATTTAATAATTTACAAAAATTTTAATAAAAACCTTCACAAGAATTCAATTATTTTCATAAACAATCAAATTCTTAAAAATTTTATTATAAAATTCGTTACGAAAATTCAATTATTTTCATAAATAGTAAAATCCTTCGGAAGAATTGAATTATTTTGGTAAATAAAATTTTTCATGAGAATTCAATTATTTTCAAAAATTTTAATAACATTCATAGCAAGAATTCAATTATTAAAAAATTTGTTGATGAAATTCTTTATGAAAATTCAATTTTAAAAAACATTCAATTATTCAATAAATTTTTTTTATTTTTTTTATTCAAATAATTGAAGTCTCGTAAAATTGAATTCTTGTAGAATTTTGTAAGAATTGACTTAAAAATAAATTTCAGTTACAATTTTCGATAATAATTTTTTGATAATAATTTTTTTACTTTTAAAAAGTATTTTTAAATATAATCGAACTTTGAAGAATTCGAACTTTAAATTTGGAAAATGATTGAATTTCATAAAAATTTAGAATTAAATGCGTTATTATTTAAATTTTTAGAAATACTTAAACCTGAAGAAGCTTTTACATTATAATTTTAATTCTTCTAGGCAAATAAAATAATTATTTATATATTTTTTTGAACAAAAATTATTATTGAATAAGTTAATTATTTGGAAATTAGGAAAATAAATTTGGCTTTTGAAAAATTGTAAGTAAAATTATTGTCAATATAGATAAATTTTCGTAAAAATTAAAAATATTTATTTTAATTGTCAATTAATTAGAAATTTTGTCAAATTTAATGGAAATAAATTTTATATTTGAAAAATTAATTTTTTTTTACTTTTAAAAAGTATTTTTAAATATAATCGAACTTTGAAGAATTCTAATTAAAAATTTGGAAAATGATTGAATTTCATAAAAATTTAGAATTGAAATTATTACCAAGATAAGAAAAAAGTGTATATTTTTTATTGTCAATCAGACAAATTGAGAAACAAAATTATTGTGATTTTTCTTAATTGACTAAAATGAGTTTTTTAGTTGTCAAATTTAATTTTTCGCTAACTAGCTTTTTATTATTTTTTCAGTCTTAAAACGAATTTTTGCTAATTTTCTAAATTATTGACTGTAAAGCCTGTATTTTAGAAAAAAAATAGATAACAAACTTTAGATGGTATGACTTTTTGAATTTTTTTCCAAAAAAATTAAAGAAAATAATGAAATTTCGAAGAGGTTAAAGTTGATTTTTTTAAAATTAATTTTCCAGGAGTTTGAAATTGAAATTTAAAAATTATAATTCCTCTGAAAGTTTTGTATTTCAGCGAAATAAAAAATTAAATTAATTGGTAAAAAATTGTTTGGTTAGTTTGTAAACAAACTTTCTAACCTTTTTATCTGAATCGAAAAATGGGAAATTAACCAATAAAATTGATTTGTGATAATAATTTTACAAAATTTTGTTTTATTAATAAATATACTTCATTGAAAAAATGTATACCGAATTTTGATAACCATCCTTGGTGTAACGAGAATTTTTGTGAAAATGATAACCTTCCATGTTTAGAATGACTTTTGTTCGTTTCCTTTTTTATTTATTTATTTATTTTTTTTTTTGTAGAAGTTGTTTTTTATTCGTTTATACAATAAATGAAGTGGCTACTTGCTAATTTTGTTGACGTAAATAAGACACTGGGGTGAAATGAAATTTTCCAATCGTCGAATAATTGTTGATGAACTTACACGAGGGACGAATGTTTTTTTGACATGGTTGAATCATGATGGATTGAACGAGCGAATGATGGCATGGTAAACATGCTCAAACTGCGCGCGTTGACATTCGTCACTTCACATTTTGACAAGTGACAAATGTCAGCAATAGAAATGGCTTTTCGATGATAAATTTATCTTTCCCGGTTACAGGTTATGATTAAAAGCGTGTTTTTGGACGATTAAAATCAGTGATAATAAACTTCAAATTTTTTCGTTATTTACAAACTCGTTTTTTTTTGTGTATTCAAAAATTTTGCGGATGTACTATATATGTATAAAAAAGTTGATTTACATTTTTTTTTGGAGGACAGCTTCAAAAAAAAAAAAAATTTCTAAAAATTACTCTTCGGACTTTGTCCGATTATTTTTTCAAAAAATACGACTTTTTCTACATTTTCTTACAGTTTCAATTATATCTTAATAAATATTAGACTTTTTTTTACAGAAATTCAATTATTTTCAAAAATTTGAAAAAAAAATTCTCCTCAACGTTTTAATTATTATATCTTTAAACGTAGCAAAATTCTTCGTTGAAATTAAATTATTTTCAGGAATTTTAATAAAATTCAAAGCAAAATTCAATTATTTTCATAAATAACAATATTCATCACAAGAATATACCTAAATTATTTTCAAAAAATTTAATAAAATTCATGGCAAAATTTTGATTTATTTTCAAAAATATTTAAAAATACTCGTAAAAACTTCAATTATCTTCATAAATAATAAAACTCTTCTCCAAAATTCAATTATTTTCAAAAATGTTATTAAAATTCTTTGCAAAATTTCAATTATTTAAAAAAAAAAATCTTCCTTGAATTCAATGATTTTCAATGTCTACTATTTTAATAAAAATTTTCCAAAAGAAATCAATTATTTAAAAAATTTTTTAATAAAATTCTTGTCCTGAATTAAATTATTTTCAAAACTTTTTTTTAATTCTTCTCAACATTTCAATTATATTTATCAAAAAATAGTAAAATTCTTCGACGAAATTCAATTTAAAATTCAATGATTTTCAAAAATTTTAATAAAATTAATGGCAAATTTTCAATTATGTTCAAAAATTTTTCTTAATTCAATAATTTTTACATCTATTTAATAAAATTTCCCAAAAGAATTCAATTAATTTTAAACAATTTTGACAAAATTATACACGAATATTTAATTATTTTCGCAAATAATTAAAATTTAACAGGAATTTAATTATTAAAAATAGAAATTGCATAAATTTTTTCAAAAAAAAATTCAATTGTTTGAAACCTTTTTATAAAATTCTTCCCAAAAAATCAATTATTTTCATAAATAATAAAACTCATTGCAGAATTTCAATTATTTTTAATACAATTTATTGTAATAAAATTCTACAAAAGATTTTTAATAAAATTCTTTGTAAACATTCAATTTTTTTATAACTAATAAAATTTCGACAAGAATTGAATTATTAGGTATAATATTTTATAACATTTTTCGAAAAAAATCAATTCAAAAACTTTGTATAAAATTCCACCTCAAGAATTCAATTATTTTCCCAAATAATAAAATTTTTCACGAAAATTCAATTATTTAACAAAAAATTAAATAAAATTCTTCGCAAGAATTCAATTATTTTTATAAATAATAAAATTCTTCTCAGAAATTCAATTATTTTTTTTTAAAAATTGATGAATTCTTTATAAGAATTTAATTTTGAGAAACAATTTTAATTAAATTATTTGAAACAGTTAAATTAATTTTTTTTGATTTTTATAAAATAATTCAGAAAAATTCAATTATTAAAAACTTTTCACGAAGAATTTAAATATTTAAAAAGAATTAAATAAAACACTTATCGGAAGAATTCAATTATTTTCCCAAATAATAAAACTTTTCACGAGAATTCGATTATTTAAAAGGAATTAAATAAACTACTTCGCAAGAATTCAATTATTTTTATATATAATAAAATTATTCGCAAAAATTCAATTATTTTCATAAATTATAAAATTCCTTATAGAAATTGAATTATTTTTTAAATAATTGATAAATTCTTTATAAGATATAAATTTCCAGAAGCATTCAATTATTTAATATAGTATTTATTTTTGTATTTAAATAATTGAATTTCAGTTGAGCTTTCTAATAAGAATTTATTTAAAAAGCAATTTCAGTTGAAATTTTAAATAATAATTGAATATTCAAAGCGTTATAGTAGGTTTTTTTTTTTATAACTAAATTTTAAAATATTATTAAATTGAAATCGTTGAAAATTTTAATTGTAAAACTAATAAAATTTAAATTTTGACTTTGAAAAATTATTAATTTATTTTCTTAATTTCTGTGAAGAATTTGAATGAAATTTTATTAAATAATTTTATTTGTTTACTTTTAAAAATTATTTTTAAGTACAATAATATTTTTTAGAATAACAATTTAGAAAATAATTGAATTTTTCAAAAATTTAGAAGCAGGATTAGAATAAAAATAAATATTTTTGATTGAAATCAGGAATTTAATTATTATTTTTCCAAAGGAATTAAAATTCTTCAAAAGATTCAAATTCAAACCCTTCTGAAATTAAACAACTTATAAAAAATTGTTATAAAACATGAAGAAATCGATCACTTCGAGTCTTCGACTCGGAGCAATCGATGTCTTCATGTTTTATAATAATTAAAGATGACCGAGTGATAAAATCATTAATTTAAATTCTAAGACTTTATAAAAAAAATTTTTAAATTATTTTTTATGCAAATAATTGAATTATTGGGAAGAAATTTATAAAACATTAGTAAAATTGAATTTTCCAGAAGAATGTTAATATTTACAAAGGTAATTGAAATTTTGAAGAGAATTTAAAAAAAAATTTTTTGAAAATAATTGAATTTCTGTGAAGAATTTTCTTACTTTTGAAGTTAATTGAATTTTGCAAAAAATTGTATCAGAACTTTTGAAAATAATTAATTTTCCAGGATGAATTTTATTTTTTATGAAGATAATAAAAATTTTAACGAGGAATTTAAAAAAATTTTTGAAAATAATTGAATTTCTGCGAAGAATTTGATTACTTTTGAAAATAATTGAATTTCTAGGATGAATTTTATTATTTATAAAGATAATTTAAAATTTGACAAAAATTTTATTAAAATTCTTTGCAAATAATTGAATTTCAGAGAAGAATTTTATTACTTTTGAAAATAATTGAATTATTACAAATATTTTTATTAATAATTGAAAATAATTCAATTTTTACTATAAATTTGATGAATCTTCGAAAATAGTTGATGTCATGCGAAGAGTTTAATTATTTTTTGAAAATAATTCAATTCCTGTGAAGAATTTTATTAATTTATAAAAAAAATTACTGTCAAGAATTTTTAAGTTTTTGAAAATAATTAAATTCTTGTAAAGAATTTTATTAATTTAAGAAAATAAATCAATTTCTGTGAATAATTTTATTACTTTTGGCAGATAATTGAATTTCTGAGTAAAATTTTTTTAAACGTTTTGAAAATAATTGAATTATTACAAATATTTTTATTAATATTTGAAAATATGTTAATTCATAAGAAGAATTTTATTTTAAATTTGTGAAAATAATGGAATTTTTGCGAAGAATTTTATTACTTTTGAAGATAATTGAATTTCTGCGAAGAATTTTCATTACTTTTGAAAATAATTGAATTTCTAGGATGAATTTTATTATTTATAGAGATAATTGAAATTTTGACAAGAATTTTATTAAAATTCTTTGCAAATAATTGAATTTCAGAGAAGAATTTTATTATTCACAAAGATAATTGAAATTTTGAACAGATTTGTTTAAAAATTCTTTAAAAGTAATTGAATTTTGCAGAAGAATTTTGATATTTATAAACATAATTGAAATTTTGAGGAGAATTTAAAAAAAAATTTTTGAAAACAATTAAATTTTTATGATGAATTTTATTATTTATAAAATTTTGGCGAAAAATTTAAAAAAAAATTTTGAATATAATTGAATTTTTTCGAAGAATTTTATTACTTTTGAAAATAATTGAATTTCAGAGAAGAATTTTATTATTTATAAAGATAATTGAAATTCTGACAAGAATTTTATTTAGAATTTTTTTAAATAATTGAATTTCGAAGAAGAATTTTATTATTTATAAAAATAATTGACATTTTAAAGAGAATTTTTAAAAAAATGTTAAAAATACGTAATTAAAATTTAGCTATGAATTTTATTAAATTTTTAAAAATTTTATTCCTGATTTTTTGATATTAATGTATCTGTTGTTGAGAAATGTGATTTTTTTACAATTTTGACATTTTCGTGTTTCCTTTTTGTCGTTTTTTCTAAAATTTCATGCGACTTTTCGTGACTTTTGTTGTAAATTTATGCGACTAAAGCGACTTTTTTTGAGTCTTAAAGAAGATCCGAGCCCTGTGAAGGCTGTTTTTTATTTATGGCAAGAGGTCAACTACAGAAGTGGTGAAAGTCCCCTGGTAAAATTGTATTCGTATATACAAAAGCAAGATGTTTATAACGAAATAAGATTGTAATAAGAAGCATCTTACTTTCCTGGTGCTCAACTTTATTATGTGCTTTCAGAAACGAGAAACAAAGACCGAAGCATATATTGCAATCCAAACTTATAGCATATTTCTTTTACGAACAACAATTTTCATCCTATTACCGCTTTAAATGTACAGAAGGAGCATCACCGCACTCGTAGAAGAAAAAAATCATCCCATATTGAAAAGAATATACCATTCTTTCGATATTCTCTTTCGAAATAAGAACGAAAAGAATAGAATTAAAATAATATTCGCATTTTCTTTACAATAAAGAGGAAAAGTATAGCTTCTTTATTTCTCCAGCTCGATGAAAGACAATTTATTTATTTTACAATTTTACAAATCCATTATTTTGTAAAAATTCTAAAAAGAAGACGCATGAATAATTCGTCACGTATCTGTGATTTTGATCAATAACAATTAAAGTGTTATAACATCGATGAATGTCAAAATTGAAGCAAAGTCTCTAGAATAACGTCAGG